TTTTTTGGTCACCATCCCCACAGGCAAAGATGTACGTCAAATATGGTGGTTAATGTCTCTCGAAATGTCATGCTGTTGTCATTGTTATCATCACATTCATTAAAAATTCATTATTCTGTTGTCATTTTGGATATTGGTGACCTTTGTCCGTGTGGCTGCAAAGATCACTCGTGTGCATTGGACAGTGTTATCACACTTTGAAAATGCCATGCTCCCTACATCTCTTTGTCTCTTAACCTCTACACCTCACAGTCATCACTGTCTGAAGAAAAAAAAGAAAAAAAATTTTAATATGCATTGAAGTGCAAAGAAGGTAAAACAAGTATTCGGGTGAACTCAGGACACAGATATTTGAGAGATGGGCTCTTGCTTTCAAATGTGATTAGACTTACAATTTTCACCTAGTGGTATAGATGATAAAACAGGTGCAAACTGACAGCAACCATCCAGAACAACCTGGCAACACGTCCTTGATGAAACAAAAAAAAAAAAAAGTAGGCTAAATAAAAAGATTAACTGCAATGAATTTAATGGAAAAATAGATAGACATCTTAATTCAATCACTGTTTGTAAAGAGCAATCACTGTTCTTTATGCAGCAATATCCTGACATGAGTCGTATGGCAAATATGATTCATCAATTTAAATGAAGAAAGAGAGTTTTGTGTCAAAGAATGCCCTTATAATTACACATCCACCTTTCCTGCTCATGCTTTTGTTACCAGAAAGGTCTCTGCCACTATCTTACAGGGTTATCTGTGACTCCTGAGCCTGCTTGTGGGGGTTTGAGCATGTGTGCCCCTCACCTCTTTATAAGCAGGAACAGGGACCTGGTAGAAATCACAGCACATCAAACAGGCACCTAGATCCCAACCAAAGGGAGCCCAGCAGGAAACCAGCTTCTGAACATCATCTGCTGCTGCCAGTGAATATCTGCTCTCAGCATGATGTGGAAAACCACAGCGCTTGCAGTGTGTCTGCTGCTGGCTGGAGTACAGGCACTGGATGGCCCCTCATACGGAGTCAAATTATGCGGCCGGGAGTTCATCCGAGCTGTCATCTTCACCTGCGGAGGCTCTCGATGGAAGCGCTCCTTGACAAGCACAGGTTAGTATTACAGAGCAGGTTTTGTAAAACTTTTTTTTTTTTTCAATTTGAAAATATAGACAATTTTTAAAAATTCTGGGTGCAACAATATTACAAATACAGTACCAGTTAAATATTTTGGATACACCTATTTAATCTCTATTTTTACAATGTTCAACAGTAGTAGATTTCATCACCAAAATACAGAATACATTTTAATACAGAATAAAATTCTTGCAACCCAGAATTTTAACGTACATCATTTTAAAATTCCATGTTGCAACAATATTACAAATACACTACCAGTATTTTTACTGTTTAAAGTGTTATAATCAAAATTATGGACTAAAATTATGAAATAACACAGAATGGAAGTATAGGAACTATGTACGCTACTATTCAAAAGTTTGAAAAAAAAAGAAATTAATGCTTTTATTTAGCAAAGACACATTACAGTAAATTGATCAAAAGTGGCATTATTCATAATGTTACAGAAGATTCTTTCTCAAATAAATGCTCTTCTTTTGAACTTTCTATTCATCAAAGAATCCTGAAAAAAATCTGAGATTCCACAAAAGTATGAAGTAGCACAAGAGCAGCAAATCAACATATTAGTTTTACCGTTAAATTCACAGTCTTTTTTTACAGTGTGGAGTAATGATGCAAAAAAATTAAGCTTTGCATCACAGGAATAAATAATTACATTTTAATAAATTAATAAATTTTAAAATGCACTACAATAGAAAACAGTTATTTTAAATTGTAATGATATTTCACAATATTACTGTTTTTACTGTATTTTGAACAAATAAATGCAAAAATTAAAACACACACACACAAATCTTATCAACCCCAAAACGTTTTAACATTAGTGTATCGGAAATATATTTGAGATTCTTAATGTAATGTACATATACTTTTTTGGAGTTGTATAAAACAAAGATTATTGGATGATTCATGTATTGTTTTACGACTATTACATGAATCAACATCTCTTATTTCACAGATGAAATACTGGACTTATTCAGCTCGTATGACAGTAATGTTCCAGACAGCTCAGTGCTGTATGGTGCTGCACTGTCCTCCCAGCATGCCACTGACTCAAATCTTCCGTCACTGGCACAAGGTGAACAGGAAGGTGACGTGTTCAGCAGGCCAGCGCGCTCTCTCATTTCACAGGAGGTGCTTGAAGCGTTGCGTACCGTGGACAGAAAGGGACGAGATGTAGTGGTGGGACTGTCCAACGCCTGCTGCAAGTGGGGCTGCAGCAAAGGAGAAATCAGCTCCCTTTGCTGAGAGACTAACCTTCTGTATGGCATGAGTGAATAAAAAAAGTGTGTGTGTTTGTGTGTGCTTCTCCATCACATCCTGTCTTTACTTTTTCTGTCTCCTTGTTGTGCTTGAGTCTTGTAAATGGTTTGAATTGAGCTCCCATGTTGCAGTTAATTTAAATAATGATTTTATGTTTGATGTCGTAATGTAATAAGTTACTTTTTGTATTCAGTTCAGTGTGTTCACTTTTTAATCTTTATCTAGAGTATATTTCACTCTTGAATAAAGATGATTATTTGCATTAATCGCTTATGAATCAGTTTGAGGTCATTTGCATATTTAATCGTAACAATTTATGAAAACTTGTAATTAAAAACAATAGTTTTAATAAAATGTGATTAATCAACTTTGGAAGTATTGTGATATATGGTGATATATATATATATATATATATATTGATATATATATACGTTGACACTAAATTGCCTAATATATATTATAGCCTATATCACCATACTTCCAAAATATATATATATAATTATGAAATTTTCACTAAACCTTAGAAGTATGGTGACACACTATATATATATATATATATATATATATATATATGTACAATATATATAATTAATTATTATATTTTCACTCGTCTTTGGAAGTATGGAGATATATAATATATTAGGCAATTTAGTGTCAATGTCTTTCAAAAGGGGATGATAAGAATTTGTTTACAATAGCCAGTTTCCTGAAGTCCACTTGCTGAATGAGGGAATTATGACTAATCATAAATTTGCCAATCAGCACAGTAAAAGAAAAAGTAAAGTCTAGAGAAAGTCCTGCCTTAAAGAGCCATTTCTGCATCTGACTCTGAAAAGTTAGTTCAGTTAAGTTAATTTACAAGTTACAATATGAAGCACATTTTTATGTTGCCAGATAAACCATTTTGTTCAGTGTGAGTTCGGGTGGACCTGGCCCCACAGAAACTAGGAGCATGTCCAACTACCCACACTTGCCCGCTTGTCTACGTTCTTACATGACGAATTTCCTGTATTTGGCCCAAGTGTTCACATGAGCGTGAATACCACAAGTGTGCACAGAACTTTTCATTTCCCGATGCAACACACTTATAATGTTGTAAAAATGCAAGTGTTTACAGAGCTTTATTTTGATTTTCAATGCTTTGCATTTTAAAATAACCCTCTGTTCAGTAGTCTCTATAACAGATGATGACTGATAATCAACTAGATAATCAGTTTCCCCTAAAGGTCATTGCACTGAAGGAACGTGCTGAAAAGAATTATCTTTGATCTGATTGGTCAACTCAACTGGCTATGCATGCGTAAGCGGCGTCTGGGCGGAGTCTTTTGATGCGCGTTCTGTATTCTGTGGAACAGGAGTGAGCTGCTGTATGTTTACACGTGACGCGAGTTGAAGTTTGTCATTTGAAGAGGTTTGAGCAGCACGCTGACTGCAACTTAATAGACGAAAATTAAACTTATACCTATATACCTATAAGAAGCAAAAAGGAACAAGGTCACAGCAAATGGAAAATGCTCGTTCCAGGATGTAGAGAATGATGTTAACGTTACTATTTTTAATTGATTTGTGAAAATAAGATTGACGACTGAGAAAAACGCTGAAGAACCGTAATGGGTCAACGATGTGACTCTGGAGCGAAACAAACAAATGTCTGATCGTGGACTTTCCGTGACTGTGTAAATCGGGACGTTGCGTCACACTGGACTTTTTTGCTTGCAATGTGAGCGATGGCATGGCAGAATGTAAAAGTGCACTTTGTTATAGTACTTTACGTGTGGATATGCTCTCAAGGTGAGCAAAAGTATTTCGTTTTCAATATTTAATTCTATCATATACATGTAAGTAACAATATATTGTTATTTGTGCAATAAAGTGCTCTGTTTCATAATTTAAAACCTTAAAACGTATTTTTCTAAAACTATATATTGTTTTCAATTATATATAGTTTTAATTTTAACTATATATAGTTTTAAATTATGAAAGAATGTATTTTATTTCATAAATAACTATACTTGCATCGGAAAAGTTCTAGCAGCATTTGTTGGCAGATGCCACAACCACATTTATTCATTATGAGCCCCAAATTTCTTTTGGTCAATTTATATTAAGACAAATTAGTGCTTTTCATCAGCAGTAAACAATAAAGCAAATATTCTCATAATAGACCATTGAATTCATGTTAAACTTTCTCTGCATGTTTTTATGCATCTGAGTTCATCATAGCTCTGTTGCCTCAACTTGTACTTCTTGTCTTTTTTTTGTCTTTTTTTATTTGTTCAGCCTCTTGTGAAGTGGTTTTAAACTGCTGGTGGAATCAAGCTATTCCTGTGGGCCGCAATGTGTCTGTTGTGTGCCACATGAGTACACTGGCAAGAGCAAACAGTTGTGGTCTCTGCCAGCTTAATGTTATCACACAGGGCCACAGACATCAGTTTCCCAGCACATGTGCCAGTACCAAAGAAACCTTCAACTTTTCTATAGCAACAGAAGACAGGGAGCAAATTCACTGCATGTGCAATGGAAGTACAGCAGATACATGCAACATTACAGTAAGAGGAGGCTGTGAGTATGACAGAATTGACCATTTATCTGCCTCGTTACTAGCTCTGGAAATGTTTTGTTCACAAGATGGTCCCAGAAGGGAATTGTTTACAAGAAAAACTGTATAATCACATTCACAGACTGCATTTGGGTGTTCATAAACGGAAGTCTTCCGTCTAAATCTGACACATTGTTTCTAAGCCCTCTGGGATTCCTTGCCCTATATGAGTCCATTGTAAGTGCACAATACTGGGTAGTAACTGATTACATGTAATCTGGATTACTAAACCGGATTCCAAAAATTAAATACTTGTAATTAGATTGTCTTACATTTTTAAATACTCAAAATCAGACTACAGTTGATTAGTTTTATTAATTTCTTTATTACTTAATATTCACAAAGTAGCAAGAAATAAATTATTCATAAAACATTTGAATTTTTATATTAATATGGTACAAAATCATCCTGTAATGTGATAAACAAGGGAAAAAGTACTCAAAAAGTAGTCATATTATATTACCTACAATGTGTAATGTAACAGATTATGTTACTAACTACAATTTTTATAATGAAATTGTAATCTGTATTCAGAAATGGACTACGGTAGACTTTAGTCAGGTTAGACACCATATTGAATTTAACACGGATGAAAACGAGGCTGTGAAGGATAGACTTGCAGTCTTTGCATTGGCACGCACTGTGGAAAGGTCCTAGATCATGCAATTTTCACAACTCACAACTTTTGAAACTCTTTTATGACGTTTTTGACTACCAAAAGCTTTTATCCGAAAGACGTTTCGTCAGCTAAACAATTGGTATCTTATCTATGCACAATCAGCTTGTAACACTCCAAAGAGAAAGGAAAACTTGAAATCGCATCATATGACCCCTTTAATTGACAAATGCATACTTTAATGCAATGTAAATATGTAGCTGTTAATTATCTTATTTTGTAATAGAGCTTAATTTGTTTTGAACCTGGAACAGTCTTTGAGAAATGCTTATGTGTTGAGATGTTGTCTAAAATTAGACAAGGATGGGAAGTGTGCGACACCCTGGTGGCTTTCTTTTGCAGATTTCCCCACATGACTTCCTGTTTTCTCAGTCTAAAAAGTAGTGGTGCTCTTGCAGCGCACTCTGTTAGTTTTTTCTTTTGGTTGGCTTCCCTCAACAATGTTTGACATTCTTCCATCTTTTACAGATCCACCATCTCCCCCGTCCCGCCCTGATTGTGCTATTGAAGACTTGGAAGTAGAAGACATTTACTGCTCTTGGACCAAATCCAATGAGCCAATGATTCCAACTGTTTACACCCTTCACTGGAAGGATTATGATGGGTGTGTGTTTTCTTAATAGCACCACCAATTGCATTATATATGGACATTGTGTTTGAGCATCTGACCATGTTTTTTGTGTGTGTTTATATACAGGAATGTTAAATCCAGGGAAAGCAGTAGTGAGAGTGCAGTCATAAACCGGGCTGAGTATATGAAAAGCACTTACACTACAGCATGGGTCACTGCCAAAAACGTGCTGGGTTCTGCACAGTCTGAAAATTCTGTCTTCGACACGGGCCATATCAGTAAGTCATGTTTACTCTATTGTAAACCATCACTTGCTTTCTTTAAACCATGTACAATTTTATTACAATTTATTGGCTCCATTTGAAGCACTGTAAAGCAGCCAGTGTACACACAATTCTAATGATTATTATTAATAAATGTAAAAAAGGAGTGCGTCACCTCCAGAGTCTCTCTGATATTCTTCTCCCTAGATATATACAAGAGTTCATAGGTTTAGTGTCAGTAAGTTTTTTTTTTTAAGAAATTACTATTGTTATTCAGCAAGGATCCATTAAATTGATCATATTTCAAATAAATACTGTTCTTTTGAATGTTCTTGTCAAAAGAATCTTTAAAAAATAATCATTGTTTCCACAAAATATTATGCAGGACATCTGTAAAAATAATAAATGTTTCTTGATCAGCAAATCAGTATATAAAAATGATTTCTGAAGGATCAAGTAATGATGCTAAAAAAAATTCAGCTTTGTCATCACAGGGATAAATTACATTTTAAATAATAAGAAAATAGAAAACGGTTATTTTCAATTGTGATTATTTCACAAATCACAGTATTTCTGTTTTTACTGCATTTTCGTCAAATAAATGCAGGCTTGGTGAGCACAAAAGAAAATATTTCTTTCAAAAATATTTTAAAAATTCCAAAACAAAAAAGTGTTTTATCAGGCAAAAACTGTGTTAACTTTGTGCTAGCTTTTAATCTTTTTTCTTTCTTTCTTAGAACGGCCAGACCCCCCATACAATATTAACCTCACCTCTGCGCCGCTGGAGTTCATCTGGGACATGGACTGTGATAGAATGGGCCCCTTAGACAAGAGCTGTCAAGTGCAGTACCATGAGAACAATCACATGGACTGGATTGAGGTGAGAGGAGAGAGAGAAACCAGATTGATTTGACTCCATTCTGATTTGGAACAATATTTCAACATTTTCCTTTAATCTTTGATGTCACTGGCTTCAGGGGTGCAGCTCTGGCAGATTTGAATTCATGTGTTCAAAAGTGCTTTTGTAAATTGAGTTTCCGTAATGAAGAAAATCCATCTGCATGATGTAAAGTTTAATGAAAATGTAATCGCATCCATTAAAAAGGTATACTGATTAAAAGATAGATTTTTGGGATTCAAGAATCGATACGGGATTGTTCAAATATAAATCTCAATCAGATGCAGATTATAAACTAGTTCTAGGAGAAGCACAACAGCTTTTTGTATTTACTAGTTACATTTTTCACTTTGTTTGCTTCTTTAATGTAAATGTATTCTTGTCAAGATTATAAGAATACAATCAAAGATAATTCTTTCATTTTATAGTGTCAGAGATTTGTAAAAACCGATAGTTCAAACAAATTGTTTCTCTGTTGAATTCTCATTGTGCAGGTGGATGATTGCCAGGTCATGTTTGTGTTGGAGGATCCCCAGCCATTCACACAGTACCGTTTTCGTGTTCGATGCCACTGTGGACATGAAGAGAAAGTCATGAGTTACTGGAGTTCAGTGTATTCAGTCAGAACGCCTCCTGCAGGTCAGAGAAAGACCTCTCATTGCATTAATTGAAGACATTGATGCACTCATTTATTGCTCATTTATTGTTTTATTGAAGATGTTCACACAGCAGTAGGCCTGTCACGATAATAACTTTTTGTTGTGCGATATATTGCGGCAGAAATAATTGCAATAAGGGATGTTATTGTCATTTTAAGACCATTTTATGTCACTGAATATATAATCATAATGTAACAGCATAATAATGCAATAAAGTGTGTAGGCATAAAGTGTGTAGGCATAAAGGCCTACACACTTCCAAATGACAACAAACTTTTAATTTTTAAGAATATTTATTTAGATCATGGAAATTAAGTATCAAAATATTAGATACCTTAAAAAACTTGAATAAATAGTAAATAAACATTTTCTAACAAAAAGTGCAAAGTAACAAGTACAAAAAAGAAAATTGCACAAAGAACTTGTATGGAGATTTTTCCATCTACAGATTTTTCCCTGACCTTCTTTTCTTGTCTTGTAAATTAAGGCTGCAATCTATTGCTGAAAAACACAATCACTAGTACTTAGCAGTCAGATGTCCGTATGCACAAAGGCACAGATCCCTAAACAAGACCATATCTGCAGATGAAACTTTGTTTATAGAAGCTTTTTTTTTATTTGAACTAGCACCTCATGACTACACCACATTATGTACGAGAAGCTGCAAAAGACACTGGCGCAAGTGGAATGCAAAAAACACGGTGACATTAATTTTTAAGTACATATAATGGGCGATATATTGCATCACCAAAAATTATTGAGGTCATATACATATATTGCGCGATAAGTCGATATATTGATTATTGCGACAGGCCTACACAGCAGTAGAATATGGATGTCTCTCCTGTTTTAGAGTCCTAAATACAAAAGCAGTTTGGATTAAAACAAGAGCCACCACCATGTTCTGTATCCAAAATGACTCCCTGTAATGTTTTGGATCGTTTGGCTCTCCAAGGCTACATGTATTAGATAAAAAAATACAGTAACAACAATGAAATGTTATTACAGTTTATAAGAACTGTTTATATTTAAAATGTACTTTATTCAGTACATTTATTCAGCACCTTTCAGTCGTTTAGCATTTCTTTCATTACTTTTTTTCTTAATATTGTGGCATATAACAAAATCAGTGATGATGACTGCGTGACTGTAATATTCTCTCTTTTCAGCACCAGTTGGACAGCTGGATGTTTGGAGTGACTGTGCCCCTAATTCTGACAAGTCTTCCTGTAAAGTCTATTGGAAGGTAGACCATACTCCCATAATGCATCAATCTATTTGGTTCTTGTTTAGTGGGTCAGTCACAATTCAGTAGATCATGCATGAGCAGTCAACATTTGTCTGTCTCTCGCTGTCATTTGCTTTCTCTCAGGAAATGCCCCTGTCTCAGGCTAGAGGGGAAATTATCAGCTATGTTGTAATGCTGAAGCTTGAAAATGGCACGCAGGTCACCAGGCAACAGAGAGACACTGAATGTCTGCATCCTGCTGAACAGAGCTGCCTGCAGCTCAGATGTTTCCCACTCAAGCCGGGTGTTATGGGAGTTTTTGTGTCAGCCAACACCTCAATGGGCACATCGAACCCCACATTCATGCCGTTTGCTGTGAGGGGTATGTCAATGCGAAATTCTGATTGAAACTTACAAAGTTCAATTAAATATTGTAGGAAATATTAGTCATTTGCATTCGTCTCTAATTTTGTTGAAGGTATGCTTAAAAATGTAAAATATTTTCTACTTATTACATTTTTATAATGTAATGCTATATTCAAGACTGTTCAGAAGTTTGGGGTCAGATTTGAAAGAAAATTATACTTTTATTCAGCATGGATGCATTAAATTGATCAAAAGTGACAGTAAAGACATTTATAATGTTGCAAAATATTTCTATTTCAAATAAATGCTGTTCTTTTGAACTTTCTGTTCATCAGAGTATCACAGTTTCCACAAAAATATGAAGCAGCACAACTGTTTTCAACATTGATAATAATAATAAATGTTTCTTGACCAGCAAATCAGCATCTTAGTATGATTTCTGAGGGATCATGTGGCACTGAAGACTGGAGTAATGATGCTGAAAATTCAGCTTTGCATCACAGGAATAAATTACATTTTAAAATACAGAACAGTTATTTTAAATTGTAATAATATTTCACAATATTACTGTTTTTACTGTATTTTTGATCAAATGAATGCAGCCTTAACATTAAAATCTTACCAACCCCAAACTTTTTGAAAGGTAGTGTATAATTATATCTTCGATTATATAATTTTTATGCCCTGTAGGACAGACGACGCCTGAGGTGAATCTGAGTGTAATGGGTGAGAACCAGACGCTGCTGGTCTCATGGGCTGTACACCAACAGTTCTCTGAGAGTGTTCTGGAGTATGTGGTACAGCACGTGTCTGTAGTACCTCACTCATGCCTGAACTGGGTCAGAGTAAACAGAGCCCAGAGATCTGTCACACTCAAAGGTGTGTGTGTGTGTGTGTGTGTGTATGTATGTAAGAGTGAAAGCTGTAGTTCAGCCTGATTCTGACAGTGATTTTGTGTTTGTCTCCATCCACAGGTGACCTCAGGAACCACACAGCGTATAATGTGTCACTGTTCGCTGTCTTCAACAACCACAGCACTTTCCTCAAGTCAGTGATTGCATACACACTTGAAGGAGGTATGACATTTCTTAAATCACTGAATGCACTTTTATTTAATTGACAACAGACCTAAGTCCACAAGATAACAAATAAAATTGGGCTACAATTTGCAAATTGTACAATACAGCAGAGGGCCAAAATTCTGTAAATTATCATTACCATGAATTAATACTTGCATCCTTTTACAACTTACACCGCTCTGACAAAAGGTTACATCATTTGTTAAAAGATGCATCCATTGGAAAAGTATATTGCATTGTAGATAAATGGCTTGTGTATTGTCACTTAGATTTTAAAAAATTGTAATGCATTCCATTCCATTCATAAGACATTTTCTCACACTGAGCTTGTTTTAGGGCCCAAAGTACTTGGCTAGTAAATGTGAGATCCTGTAATCAGATTTTCTAGCCTTCATGTTTGTATCATCTCTTCATCTCCCCTGCCAGTTCCTCCTAAAGTCCCACAAATCCATGTGAAGAACATCTCTCACTCCTCTGCCACTTTGATATGGAGCCCCATCCCTGTAAATGAGAGCAAAGGTGTCATCCTGCATTACTTAGTGGGCATCAAAGAAACAGGTAACCCATGGTCACTCCTTTAAAGGGGAGATCTAATGCTATTTCATGCATTCTGACTTATGTTACGCTGTTAAAAAGTTGGATTCTCATGCTAAACATGGCCAAACAATTTGGACGCATGACGGAGTATTTCTGTGCCAAATATACTCTTTCGGGGTTCGTATACGTTTCTGAAAGTGATTTAGTTTGGAAATTTTTTTTTTTTTTTTTTTAAGAGTATGGCCCTGTATGACATCATAAAGGGTGGAATTCCTTGTATGGGCACTTCTCCCAGAAGAGCCGCGGGCAGCAAATCAGCATATCAGAATGATTTCTGAGGGATCATGTAACACTGAAGACCAGCGTGATGGATGATGCTGAAAATATAGTTTTGCATCACAGGAATAAATTAAATTTTTAAATATATTCAAATAGAAAACAGCTATTTAAAATTGTAATAATATTTCACAATATTGCTGTTTTTACTATATTTTTGGTGAGCATAAGAAGATTGTACTGAACATAAACTTTGAATAGTAGTGTATATCTGTGTCCTTTGGCCTGTGTAATAGGGTCTAAGATAAGCAGTGACCGAACCAGTGCGCTGTTGTCAGAACTGCAGCCGGCCCAGCAGTACCAGGTCTGGGTGAGCGCTGTGAGCGCTGCTGGGGAAGGCGTCAGGAGCTTCACCACTTTCTCCACCAATGAGAAAGACCGTAAGTACGAGGAAGATGAGCTGTTTCTTTCTTCCTTTGGGATTTACATTGCATGCATTATCCAAAATACTAGTAAGTCCTTGTTTTGCATACAGCATGTAGATCACAAATTCAACTTTAGGTAGTAAACCAATCATTTCTACCCATCTCATCTTCTAGGTGATGTTAAAACAATACTGTTTGCTGTATTCATACCATTATTGATGTTCCTGGTATTAGTATGGGTTTTTACATTGGTGTAAGTATTGCCTTTCATCATAATTCCATCTATATGGTCAAAAGTACATGGAGACCCCCTTGTAAGGGTTGGTTCACACAGAATGCGTTTTTCCATTACACTGCGCTCCATAGTTTTTCTACATAAATACGAGCTAGATGGATGTGTTTGTTGTGCTTGCATCTTTTGCAGCATCTGATTCTCTAAAAATGCAGCGCTCAGCTTAAAATAAGTTCATCTTTCAAAAAAAAACTTGTCACGACTCACAAGTGTTTTTTTTCCCCATTCCACTGGCTGTGCCTCACTTTTTTCAAAGGCATTCTGTATGAGTGGCCCATAAATAGTGAGCTTGGCTAGTCCAGTGAGGATAAATTGTAATTCTACTACAGTGGTTCCCAACTTGGAGAACTTGTATGCTTTGAGGTCAAATAAGGGTGCAAAAACTTTCGTTTCTATAAATGCTCCAAAAGATCAGCCACTGATTTGGAACCAGCCAATAATCACTTGCATTAATTTGATACGTGGCCTCTCATCTTGCCGTCACATCACATTGTTATGACGCAGAAGATGTGAGTGTGTGGCGAATATGAAAAGATCAGTCGCAGCTGTCAGATTTCACAAAAAGGCCACCTATTTTAAGATATGCAGATCCCCAGTTATTATGGGTAGGAGATAATATTCTGAAAACAAGCCCCTTAAAACGCAATATAAGCAGACATAGCAAAACTGAACCAGAAAAATAAAATATAAAAGACCTGATATTGACCAGTATTCTATGTGATTAAAAAGCAGGAAATGTTATTTATTTCAAATAAAATAGTTCAATATAAAACATTTAAATATTATTGAATAAAAAAAAAAATTTTTAACTATAAAATAAAATTATAAAAATTCAATAAATTAAATTTGTATTTAAATTATAAATGTATTAAAAAATTTTTTTATCTAAAATGATTATATCTAAAAGTTTAATTATGCTCTGTTTAATTACAACTATGGGGAGGGTCTCAAGTTTTCTGACATGTAAGGAGAGGGCTTGGGAACCACAAAAGGTACGGTATCCATATGCTTTTGGCCCTGTTGTGTATTATTTTCTATTACATTCAGTAATCACATTAGGAAATTATGCTCTGCTTTCCATCACATCACTCTATTTTTTAGCACTGTTATTGTATGCATAGGATTATCGTCTTGCATACTGTGTACAAAATTAGTTTAACTGATAAATTCAACATTTTGTGATAAATTAATATCTGCTCTCTAGGTGCAAAACAACTCGGTGTTGTGTGAAGATCCCAGATCCAATAAACAGTAAAACATTTAAACATATGAACTTTCAGGTGAGAATCTAAAGTCTTTTGAGTGTTCCATATGAAAGAGATGTCACACTTACAAAAACGGTACAATATTTGTTCACGTCTTGGCTTTTCTTTCAGCATGCGTGGCCCCGGCTTTGTTCTCCTTCTGAATTGACTCTAAAGATCTCTGAGCTGGAGATCGTGGAGAACCTGGATCCCAACACACCTACTCCTCCATCAGAGACTGAATCGGAGAAGTTTTTAATCGATGTGGAACCCCAACATTTTCAGGTGCCAGATGGACTGGGCAGAACAAATGAAGGTGGAGATGAGCCTGAGGAATCAAACCGAGGAAACATTTCAAAGCCTGACAGTTGGGCAAAGGAGTACAGCGAGATGGTCGACACTGATGAAGAGAAGGATGATGGTGATGATGAAGCATGGTGGGACCAGCAATGTGTCTCGGACTATGAAAGACATTTTTTGCCTTCTGTTAAAGCGAATTAACTTTTCATACCTCAGGATGTTTCATCTGTACTGTAGTGCCTTAAATGGAACAATCAGAAAGGGACTGTTTTACTGAAGAACAATGTGTGCTTTTTAATTAGACACTGAAAAGAGTTATAAGACCAATGTATGCACAGTCTATGCACAGATTTTCACACTTACAGTCTTTCACACTAGCTGCAACTTTTAAAGGTGATGTATATGTTTTGCGCCACTAGCGTCATCAAAGGACTATACAGGTCTCCAGAATACTCTCCTCTTTTGCCATTGGTCGGCCAAACAAATGTTCTTGCCACAAACTCAAGCCATTGGTTGAGCCAATGTTAGGCAGGTCAGAATGCTCAGATAAACAAGAGCAAAGTTTTGATAGTTCCTCAGTGGCATGTGGTTTACACTTTTCAGGGAATTCAGAAAATGTCTTATAGGTATCTCTGCACATTAAACCTTACATTTTAACATGGAAAACAAATGAGACAGTATTACTAATAGATACACAATTGAATGTAAAAAAACAATTGAATGTACATAAATATTTTGAATATATGAATATGCTTCTTATTTGTGGCCATTATTTAGAAGTGAATTTCTCATCAATTTTGCAGTGATTAGTTTGACAGATAATGTACTTTAGAACTGGCATGTTAATATTTGTATAGCGCTTTTCACAATACACATTGTTTCAAAGCAGCTTTACAGAAAATGCATGTCTACATTACAATTTAGAGTGATCTGTTATCAGAAGTGAATGTGTCCAAGTAATGTTCATTTCACAAATGATAATAGAATCATACAGTTAGCTAACATGAATTAATTTCAGGCAGAAGCTCATTAAAGCGATTATTACAAGTGTTATCATAATGATTACAATATAGAGAAAATTTGGCAGCTTCAAATGTCGATTCAAGTTGGCGTCATCTGGGGTCCTCGCAAGGGGTCAGCATCATCTCTTCACAGGTGTTGGGTCATCTGAAGTCTTTCTATGAGGCTGGAGCTGGTGTGATCTTTAGACACCTCGAGATGGGCATCCCGGGGTAGGAACAGAAAGGCAGTGGAAAAGAATTAGCGTAGCTGCTGTTCATAACGTTTCAAGCTAAAAATATATTTGTGACTTTTATCTGATCTAACTGGGAACAAGGATGAGATTGAGATTCATTATAGGAATTCTTGGCTGAAGAGATGTGTCTTTAATCTAGATTTAGACAGAGAGAGTGTGTTTGAGCCTCGGACATTATCAGGAAGACTATTCCAGAGTTTAGGAGCCAGATGGGAAAATGATCTCCCTCCTTTAGTGGACTTAGATATCCTAGGCACTACTAAAAGTCCAGAGTTTCATGACCTTAAAGAGCATGATGGATTATATGGCATAAGCAGATCAGTTAAATATACAGGAGCTAAACCATTTAATGCCTTATAGGTCAGTAGCAATATTTTGAAATCAATACGGAACTTAATAGGTAAGATGGAGAGGTGTTGAGGATTATGATTACAAATTAGATTAATTTAGATAGCTAAACAGGTTGCGAGGTTTAAAGTTACACTGCCATTCAAAAGTTTGGGTTTGTAAGATTTTTAGATGTTTTTGAAAGAAGCCTGTGCTCACCAAGGCTGCATATTTGCTAAAAAATTATTGGAACCCAAAAGTTGGGTTAGTCCATATTTGACCCAAAGTTGGGTTGAAACAACCCAGCATTTTTTAGAGTGTACTGCTGGTCAAATATTACTCCATTACAAGTCCCAGCGGTTGGGTTTGTCCCTTTTTAACCCAGCATTTTTTAGAGTGTAGCCATTCATCCACATTTGAACAGAGTGGACAGTGAAATTGCTGTAAATACAGACTGATAAGGAAGAAAATAAAAAATCAAACCTGCTTTAAAACCCAGTAACACAACTGTAGCTGTATAACTTTACAACAGCAACACTGCTTTAAGAAAAGCAGGTTTGTGTGTGTGTGTGTGTGTGTATATACATACAGTGGAGATCACAATTAGAGAACAATCTATAAATACTTGATTTTTTCTGAAATATTGTTAATCTTCATCGCTTAAAATTTGAAGGAATATGTTTGACAAAATAACCAAGGCATTTCAACAAAAACCTTTATTTTGTGTAAATCACAGTGATCAAAATTAGAGAACAGTAACCACTGTAGCACGAAAGATTACAACTACAATTTTGGAGGGTTACAGTTGTCAGAAATTACAAGTGTAGAGGCCTTCACTTTGAATAACTTCAGCACATCTGCGGCCGCAGGACAGCACTAGTTTCTCACACTGCACTGCTGTGATCTTGCTCCACTCTTCTTCTACTCTCTTTCATAGTTCAGTAACTGTAGTGGGTTTTGATTCTTCTGCTGATGAAAGGCTTGGTCACTGCAGAGTGCACTTTCAGTCCGACTTCTCTGAAACGTGCCGAGACAGATCCTTACCCTGATCAACGCTGAACCGGCGAGCAATTCCAGCTGCAGTGTTGAACCGGAATTTTCTGTAATAAGGTTCCTGGTTGCTTGTTCTGAACCTGATTTACTATGCTACAAAATATCAATCAATTACTGTTCACGACAAACATATGAATAGTAATGGATGCAAAAATAATATACATATCTATAAACACACACACACACACATATATATATATATACAGGGCTGGGGAGTAACGAAGTACATGTAACAGCGTTACGTATTTAAAATACAAAATATGAGTAACTGTATTTCGTTATAATTACATTTTAAATAGGTGGTAATCAAATTACAGTTACATCCCACAAGTATTTTAGATTACCAAAGTGATTACTTTGAATTTTAATGTCATTTCTTCAAAAAAAAAACTGCGTGCAGCAGCCTATTAATTTAGCAACTCATATTGAGAGTGCATATGCTCATCATCACGACACAAAAATGGATGACACAACAGAAAGCCATTCGTGTAATGCATTTCTATGCAAGTGAAACTGGCCAATGGCGTTCAAGCGCGCGAAATATGAGGGGCTCCCACTCTATATAAAGCAGCGCTTGTACGTCATCTATTCAGAATCGGAGTTAACGCCGGTGAAACAGGGAATGTGAAATGGCGGCGTCTCCGGCGCCATCACATATAGATTAGTTGAAGTTTGTTTCATTTCAATGAAATTATGTGTTATGATGCAACGGCCGTACCGGCGCTCAAATAAGCAGAGTATGATGGTGATCATGTCCTAAAAGACGTGATGAACAATATCATAACAATGTGATAAGCTGATAGGGACAGCATTGAGTTGGTATGTCAAAACAGGGGTGTATACGACCTAGTCGAAACCACTGAGGCAAGCAGCTCAGATCATAACTGAGGCTGAGTAGGCGCGTGTGCTGCTCGCACTGACAGCACATGTGAGGCAAGCGACGACACATCTAGGTTATACAACCTCGCGAAAGTGCTGGGTGACGACCAGCCTGCCACAATGCAAATGCCCTGAATAGATATGCCATTTGCCCAGGCCCACAAGGACGCTAGTCCGCGGGTTGAGTGGGCCCGAACCCCTATAGGACATTTCACGCCCTTAGAGCCATGAGCCAAAGCAATTTCGTCGACGATCCAGTGTGACAGCCTTTGCTTGGTCCGAGAGCCTGAACTGTCTACAGCGTTCGGTATAAATGCGCACCGCACGTACAGGGCACAGCAAAAGTGTATTAAGTGGCTCAGGCCCGGCCAGTGTTTCAGGACGGAAAGCAGATAGTGTTATGAGCTGCGCTTTAAATGGAGTCGAAAGCACTTTAGGCACATAACCCTTCCTAGGCTTTAAGTTGAGTCTGCAATCACCTGGCCCAAACTCAATGCACGAGTCGTCAACTGACAGCGCCTGCAGCTCCCCAACTCGCTTAACAGAGGCCAGCGTGAGCAGGAGCGCTGTCTTGAGAGAGAGAGCACGCAAGCTCGCTGATTGTATGGGCTCGAACGGGCTTTTTTTTTTTTGCTCTTGAAGGAAGTTGAATGGGTCTTCGCCCCGCACCAATTCGTGAAAACTCTCCATTTATGTGTGTAAAGACGCCAACAGTTCTCCACTAGTTCTGGGAACCACGGCTGATTGGGCCATTTCGGTGCCACTAACAGAACAGATTCCCTTTCCCAAGCATGCGAGGCAGAAGTTTCACTGGAGGAAAAGCATACTTGCGTACTTTTGGCCAGCTGTGAGCTAGTGCATCCACTCCCAGGGGAGAGTGTCAGTGAATAAAACAGCGGGCAGTGAGTGTTCTCCGCTGATGCGAAGGGATCCACCTCCGCCCTGCCGAATACACTCCAAATCATATTGACTGTCAAAGGGTGTAATCTCCACTCCCCATGGATTACCCCGCCCCTCGACAGTAAATCCGCGCCGTAATTCAGGCGTCCGGGGACATGTACTGCCCGGATGGAGAGGAGGTGTCGATCTGCCCACAGAAGAAGGTCTCTCGCCAGCCGCAGCAGCGGCTGCGAGCTCACGCCCCCTTGGTGATTTATAAATACTACCACTGTCATGCTGTCCATCCTGATGAGAATGTGACGGTGGAGAATGTCTGGGAGAAAGCACTCGAGCGCTAGGTGTACAGCACAAAGCTCCAGACAGTTTATGTGCCACAACTTCTCCGTTTCTGACCACGTCCCGAAGGCATGGTCTGCCGTCGCATACGGCTCCCCAGCCTGTGCTAGATGCATCTGTTGTAACAGTCTTTCTCCTGATCACTTGGCCAATAAGAACACCCCGGCGATACAGAGTCATATCACGCCAAGGGGTCAGTGCATCCCAGCAGTCGTGCGTCACTTTGATGCGCAAGGTGCCTGTGCGCCATGTGTTCTGTGGCACCCGGACCTTTAGCCAGAGCTGAAGCGGTCGCATATGTAGGAGTCCTATAGTTTGCACACTGTCGAGGCGGCAGCCATCTGGCTGAGCATCCTCTGAAAGCATTTCAGCGTAGAAGAGTGCCCTAACTTGAAGACTGCGAGAGAGCTGATCAGTTTTTGTGAGCGCTCCTCCGACAGACACGCTCGCATATTGATTGAATTCAGCTCCACTCCTAAAAAGGAGATGTTCTGGCTCGGTACCAGCATGCTCTTTTGCATATTCACAGTCAGCCCTAAACTCTGAAGATGAGCAAGGAGTCTGAGCTTGTCTGTGAGCAGCGCTCTCTCTGATTGGGCTAAGACTAGACAATCGTCGAGATAGTTCAGGATGCGCATTCCGCTCTGCTTCAGAGGAGAGAGAGC